TCATTTATTTTGTAGCTGGATGTTTGTACCTCTTAATCTCCCTCACCTATTTCACTCATCCCCCACCCCTCTCCTCGCTGGCAACCACCAGTTTGTTCTCTGCATCTATGAGTCTGTTTCTGCTTTGATATGTTTGTTCGTTTGTTTTGCTTTTTATTCCACATACAAGTGAAATCGCACAGTATTTGTCTTTCACTGTCTGACTTATTTCACTCAGCATAATAACCTCTAAGTCCATCCATGTTGGGACTTCCCTGGTGGTCCAGTGGTAAGGAGTCCGCCTTGCAATGCAGGGGACGCGGGTTCGATCGCTGGTCAGGGAACTAAGATCCCACATGCCGCGGGGCAACTAAGCCCGCGTGCCACAATTACTGAGCTTGCCCGCCTCAACTAGAGAGCCCATGCGCCCTGGACCCCATGCGCCGCAACCAGAGAGAGAAAACCTGCACGCCACAACTAGAGAGAAGACTGCATGCCGCAACAAAAGATCCCACATGCCTCAACGAAGATCCCGGTGCCGCAATTAAGATCCAACACAGCCAAAATAATAAAATCTAAAAACAAACAAAAAAGAGTCGGGACTTCCCTGGTGGCACGGTGGTTAAGAATCCACCTGCCAGTGCAGGGGACATGGGTTCGAGCCGCGGTCCAGGAAAATCCCACATGCCGCGGAGCAACTAAGCCCATGAGCCACAACTGTTGAGCCTCGTTCTAGAGGCCACGAGCCACAACTACTGAGCCCATGCACCACAACTACTGAAGCCCGCGCACCCTAGAGCCCGCACCCCGTAACTACTGAGCCCATGTGCCACAACCACTGAAGCCTGTGCCCTCCAGGGCCCATGTGCCGCAACTACTGAGTCCGCGTGCTGCAACTACCGAAGCCCATGCCCCTAGAGCCCGTGCCCCACAACAAGAGGAGCCACCACAATAAGTCCACGCACTGCAATGAAGAGTAGGCCCCACTCGCCGCAACTAGAGAAAGCCCACACACAACAAAAAAGACCCCCCACAGACACCAAAAAAAAAAAAAAAAAAAAAAATCCATCCATGTTGTCACAAACGGCAAGATTTCATACTTTTCTATGGCTGAGTAATACTCCATTGTATATATGTAGCACATCTTCTTTATCCACTCATCTGCCGATAGGTTGTTTCCATATCTTGGCTATTGTAAATAATGCTGCAATAAACATAGGGGTGCATATATCTTTTCTATTTAGTGTTGTTTTCTTCAGACAAATACTCAGAAGTGAAATTGCTGGATCATATGGTGGCTCTATTTTAATTTTTTGAGGAACCTCCACACTGTTTCCCATAGTGGCTGCACCAATCGACACTCCCAGCAACAGTGCACGAGGATTTGCTTTTCTCCACATCCTCGCCAACACTTGTTATTTGTTGCCTTTTGATGCATGGCCATTCTGACAGGTGTGAGGTGATACCTCATTGTGGTTTTAAAGATGCGAGTAAATAATATCAAGGGCTGGCTCGGGGTGTCCACGAGGGATCAGGTAGGGAATCTTTTGCAATCTGCGTTCTAAAGAGCTCGGCTTTCCTGCCTCTCTTGCAAAACGAGGGGAATTTCCAGGCTGCTTTGCCACTTGCCTTTCATTCAGCTCATACAGTTACGCAGACAGAAACCTCCTCCCGGGGGGTCCTGCCGAGGAAGGTCCTGCCTTCTCCCCAACGGGCCTGGCTTGAGGTGTTCTCAGAGGGTCGGACGTCCAGGAGACTCTTCTACGCAGGTTGGAAGTGGGTCAGAGAAGCACCCTGGTCAGGAGCTGGAGTGGCGGCCTGGGAGATGGAAGGGTCATGGGGAGTACAACAGGGAGAGTCTCCAAGAGAATGACCAACTCTCCCCCAGGCAAGGCAAGATTAACCAGTGCTGTGCGTGCAAAGTCTGAACAGTCCTAAATGCTTCAGAGAGGAGACGAAAGAGGATTTCACAACTCCTGCAGCTGTGACAGACAAGAACCAACTCAACTTAAGCAAGAAATTGTGGGCCCACATAACTTGCAAGTCCAAGGGGCTTAGTTTCGGGTACAGCTGGATCCAGGAGTTCCCAGAATGCTCTCGGAATTCTGCCTCTCTCCACCCTTCGCTCTGCTTGCCCTGGGACGCCTTCACTCTCCGGTGAAGACCCTGAGTAGTCTGGGTGTTTTTTATAGCTCTTGGGATGACTGACACCCCGAGGCAAATCTCTGTTAGCGCCCGACTTGCTCCCCAGGCCCAGGGCTCCCAGTTCAATCACCATGGGCAGGAAGGTGGGCACCACAGCTGGATTAGCTGGGCACCCATCCAGCCAAAGGGTGGAAGGCAGGGGCCTGTGACTGACAGCCCACTAGAACGATAGGGGCCTCTGAGCCCCTGGAAGGTGCAGTGGAGAGCATGTGGCCCCACTGAGGTGGGCAGCACGCCAAGCCAGTGTGGGCCTGGTCCGAGAGTGGCCGATTCTGGAATTGCTGATAACCTGCACCCACTCCCTCACCAGAGGCCCAGTCTCTCCCACACTCCCATCCTCTGGCCCCATTCCCCACAGAAGCGAGGAGGTCCCTTTGAATCCATGGAGGGGAGGGAGCCCCTGGAAGGACTCATCCCTTGTCCCCAAGTCAGGCAGTGGGGCTCTGAACAGGCGTAGATGAGGGGTGTGACCATCCCCTCACCCAGGTGTTGTCACACTCATGCCCGCGTCGGAACCCACACCTGCCTAGGGACCCCGGTGGGCTGACGAAGCCGGTACTGAAGGAAGGTGAAGGCCCCACCTCTACTTGCTCAACCAGAGCCGGGTGAGCCTCGTCCCTCTCAGTCTTGGGGGAGTGGCTGCACACCTGCGGAGGGGCTGCTGCATGTGGCAGGGCACACCCTGGCTGGCTCTTCTCTGGTTTCGAGAGAACCTGAGCCACAGACCACAGAGGGCCCGTGGCTCAGCTCTGTTCTCACACAGGGGACACCGCCTCCCTTCTGGGGTCTCCTTCTAGTTCCTCACTGCCCCGGACCTGAGAGACCCTTTGGGCAGGGCTGTGAGCTTCGGTGGCTGGCCACCTGCTGTCCAGCTGGAGGCGTGGGTGCCCGGATAGGGCCCTGGGGGGACGCTCAGGTCTGAGCGGCTGGTGTGGCTGGCCGCCCTGCTTCCCAGCCACTGGCCTCGCGCCCGGACGACGCCGTGAGCGGGAAGGGCGTACCGCGCGGCCCTCTAGGACTTAACCCCAGGCGTCTTCCTCCCCTGGTTGTTTGGGCTCCTGCCTTGTTCCCTTCGGGGAGCTGACCGGACGCCCTGGAGACGCCAAAGGGCAGGGGCTCCTTCAAGCCACCCCTGCAGTCCTGGCCTCCGGGGCTCAAGGCCACCCCCCCTCAGGAGACCGTGCCTTGCTTCCCGGGGCCCTCACGCCTGGCACACGTGGCGCAGACACACACGCCGGCAGGGGAGGCTCCACAGATGCCCAACATGAGGGAAGGCAGGAAGGAACTGGGGGGAGGCTCCACCAGCCTCCGGTCCCAGGGTGGGCAGGGGAGGGGTGAGGGGCAGCGTCAGAGGCCAGGTGAGGGCACGCGGAGGCCCGGGGCCACACCACCCCCGTCACACCCTCGGCCTCCTCCCTCCCACTCTCCAGAGGTGGCTTCCACAGCTCACACCCGCCTGCCGGCGCCCCCCTCCCCAGCCCTATCAGGTCAGGGGGCCGGGTGGTTAGCATCCTGGAGGGCGGTGGCCTTCTGCCTTAAGGGCTGGGCTGTGTCTGGGCCAGCTGGGAGCCTGGTCCCACCACATGCCTGATGGGGGGGGGTGGGTCAAGGCCTGGGGATCTTTCCCTCCCGCCAGGAAGTCCCTCAGCTCAGCCGGTCCTGCCAAGGCCGGGGAGGAAGCCCCTGAGAAGCCTCCGCACAGCCCAAGTCAAGGACAGGCGGCTTCAGAAGCTTAGAAACAGCATCCGGAGAGGGCTGGCCAGCAGGGCAGGAGCCGCTCCCCCCGGTGCCCACGCCCGGCCCCTGGCAGCTGCAGGGCCCCCTGTGGAAGCAGGGCTCCTTGTCTGTGAGAATGGGCTCTCAGTACCACGCCAGTCACACTGGCTCACGGCTCAGGTGTCCTGCCCCCCCGGGGAGCCTGTGTTTCCCCCCCCGCCCAGGCCTCTGCTCCCCACCTGCCCAGGAGGCACAGAGGAGGCGGCAGAAGCCCAGGCCCCGGCCCTGCGGCAGCCCCGCCTGAATCCCCTCAGATCATCCCGGCCCTCCTGGCTCGGGGCGCACTCCAGTCCCCACCAGTCCTGTGTGTGGGAGCCCCCGGTGCAGGACAGCCTGTGTTTGGCGCTGAGCTCCCTGCAGACACCAACAAGCAAAGGCCTGGACTGCTGTCCCAGGGTGGGGACAGAGCGTGGGCTGCTCAGAGCCAGGGCCATCTGCCAGCAGCCCAGGGAGAAGGCAGCCACTGTCGCGTCTGTGTGAATAAAGGGTTTGGGGCCTTTGCAGGTTTGATCACAGGAGCTACAAACGAGGCTGGTGGTTTGGGGGAGGGGACCACGTCCTTGGGCAGAAGAATCCCAAGATCGGCTGGACCCTCACACCTTGGTCTCTTCTAAGTCCCACTCGCTGAGCCCTTTCTGTGCCAGGACCTGGCAACAAGCCCCCGGCACAAATCCCCCGGTAGGATCCTCCCATAAAGCAGCATGTAAGTGGGCCACACCCAGGCCACAAAGGCAGCGACTACGAGGCAGCCCATGCGGCCTGACCCTCGTGCCTGGCTGGCTTGGCCCACCAGACAGCCTCTGACTGCCGTAGCCTGTGTGGGTCCTTGGCCTACACTCCAGGCCCTGGGGGCTGGCCTTCACCCTCCCTCTGGGCAGTTCTGTATGTGTATCTGTGTTTAGGAGGAGGTTCTATGACCCCCAGGACCTATGAGTGCCCCAGGGAGTGGGACAGGCCCCTGTTGAACAGGTCAGGCTACTGCTCTAGCTCAGGGGAGGTCTATCTACACAGCAAGAGTTGTTCCTGGGGTTAGCTCCAACTCACGAAATGAACACGCTTTATTGTACAAATCCCACACAGGTCCTGGGCCTGGGCCAAATCCACATCCCCAGCCGGGCCCTGGCTCCGAGCCTGCTCTGTGGTCCCAACCCTGGCCTGCAGTGCCAGGTTCTCCTGTGGAGTACGCAGGCATCCGTGAGCAGGCTGCTTGTAGGGTGGGCCTCCCTGGGCTGTGGGCACGCAGGCACTGTGGCAACCCCAACCTGAAGACAAGTGGAGTGGAGCGGAGTCCCCACCTGCTCAGGCTTAGGGGCCACAGGGGTCCACACAGTCCTTCCCGCTGCGGAACACATGGTAGATGCTGGTGGGAGGGAACATGGCCACGGCGCCGAGCAGAGAGCCCACCTGGATGGCCACGCCAGCTGCCAGCAACGACTGCTGGCCCCCCCCATGCAGCAGGGAGCTGGAAGCCACCTTCACGTATGAGAACACGCCGAGACACAGAACCCACGACACCACCTGGGAAGGTGGACACAGTAGCAGGCTGAGCGTGAGATGCCCCTGCTCTAGGGTGAACCCCCTCCCTACTGCCACCCTCTTTGCTTCACTGTGCCCCAACATACTTACCACAAGGACCACGCCTGCAGAGGTGCCCACCAGAGGTGGGCAGGGGCTCAGGATTGCCAGCGCCATCAGGTAGGCCCCAAAGAGCATGCCCAGCAGGGAGAGACTGCCCAGCCCTGCCAGGGACCTGCCAGGGGTGAGCAAAAACTCAGGGCTCAGGCCCAGGCTCTCACCCGTAAGTCCCACCCTGAGTGGCCTGGGCTGCCCATATACCTGCATAGAACACCCATGGCCAGGAAGCAGGCGAGGGGGTTGGCGGCACTGCCCAGCACCACAGCCAAGTGGTAGGCTGGGCGCCCATAGGGCAAGCAGGAATAGCTCTGCACGGCAGGCAACACGCCATTGGTCAGAGCGTTGGTGACGGCCAGCAGGCCCAGCAGGCAGACACCACGGGTGGAGAGCAGCCGACGGGCCGCAGGTTCTGGGCTGTGGGTGGTGCCTGCCGTCTTGCTGGGAGACTCCTGCAGGGGAGAGGCCTCTTCCTCTTCCTCCACTCCAGGGGCTCCCACCTGCAGGCCAGGCCCTGGGCCTCCTCTGGGTACAGGCGGTGGTGACGGCAACAGCACCAGGAGACCCTGAAAGGCGGCAGCTGAAACGACTAATAGGGCGGACAAGACCCCAAAAAAAGTGCTGGCAGGAAAACGCTCTGGGAAGTCAATGGGGGGCCCAGGAGTGCCATTGGTGGGGGTTGGTGGGCACTCGAGGCGACCCACACCCTGCACTAGGGCCAGCACACAGGGCAGCAGGGCACTGAGGCCCTGACCCAGGAAGAAGGACCGCAGGAAGGAAGGCGGCAAGCGGCTCAGGAAGGGCAGGAACGTGACATTCGAAGCACAACAGGCCAGCGCCAGCACGAAGGAGAGAGCCAGGAAGGCCACAGAGTACTCCTGCCCTGCCACTGCTGCCACGTGGGGCCACAGGGGGGCCAGCAGGGCCGTGCCCACCACGCTCAGCGCCTGCACCACTTGGATGGGGACCCTCTCGCCCTTGCCCGGGGCCAGCCGCCTCCACAGGGTCACCACCAGCAGACCCAGGTTCCCCAGTGCCACAAGCACAGAGAGGTAGGAGGGGAGACTCCAACCTGCAAGGAGAAAAAGGAGGAAGCCGTGTCAGGGGCAGGATGCGCAGGGCCAGAGAGCAGCTGCAGCCCACCTCCCCCGCACGCAGCCTCACCCCCTGCCCACATGAACTCACCCTCCGGGAGGTCTTTCACCACCACAGGCAGCTCCACCCAGATTCCGTTGATGGCAGCCCATGAGCCCATGCCAAAGAGGGCTACCAGCACGTGGGTCAGCACCAGACGGCCCAGCGGGGGTGCTGCCATTTAGCCCAAGGCTGGAGCCTTCAGGACAGGGCAGAGGTCACAGCCAGCTCTTCTTTCCCCACGTAGGTCCACAAAAGACGCTTCGGCTCCTCCGGGAACTGAAGACTTCGTCTAGCTTGAAAGAAAGTAACATGCATGCAGATCACAAGGGAAAGACACAGAACCGTTGTCAGGAGAGGACCAGACAGCCAAGACCAGGGAAACTGGGGGGATGCCGGGGGTGGGGGATGGGGAGGAGAAGGGACAAAGCACACCGGCAGCCTGTGCCGGGGTCACGACACAGCAAAGGCCGGCGCCAGGCAGGGAAGCAAGAAGGCGCCGAAGCCCAGGAGAGTATGATGAAAGAGGGAGATGATCTTCGGGTGTGAGCTACCGAGACCGCCAAAGTACTACCCCGCACGGATACGGGACGAGGACTCCGGGACAGGTCTACCTCTCAGGCGCCAAGCACACCTCTACGGCTTCTGCGAGACCCCGGACAGCCGGAGCCAAGTCGGGGCTGGGGATGTGGCCACGGCGGGCACCGCCCCTCGCTGCATCACGGGGGCGGCGGAGAGCCGACCGGTGCGCTGGGGTGCCTGAGCCTCCCGGTCCTGAACGAGCGCGCTCCCTGACCCGGCGACCGGCCGTCCCGCCACACTTCGAGGGCGCCGCCTCCGGCCCAGGGTCGAGGACCCAGCACAGAACCGGTGGGGCCGGAAAATGCAGCCAAGCGGGAGCGAGGACTCCAACTCACCCGCCAGGACTCGGAGAAACCCCCCGCCGACGCGCCCCAGCGCCCGATATCCCGCTCCGGAAATCGAGTGGGGAGTCCAGGGGCGGGGAGGGCCAGCCCTGGGCCCTGACCCCGCCCCCCGAGGCAAGCCGCGCCTCCGCCGGCCCCACCCCTTCCGCCTCAGGCTCCGCCTCTTCCGCCCTCCGGGCGGAACTCGGAACGCAGCGAGCGGCTATGGCTCCGGGTGTGGCCCGGCGGGCCCGGCAAAGGGTCCGGGTCTTGCCGCTGGCCGGGGCGCGGAGCCGCTCGGCGGAGGACTGGTGGTGGGATCGGCTGGCCCCGAGCGGCTCCGGTTACCACCTGCTGCAGTCGGACAGCATGCTGCTGGTGTTGCCAGGTCCGGGGCCCGCCCGCCGCCGCGCTCAGAGGCGCGCCGCCCGCCGTGCTCAGCTGCTGCGGCTCCACGGGGCCCGCGCCGCTGAGGCCGAGGCCAAGGCCAAGCCCAGGACCGCACCCGCACCCGTGCCCGCACCGGTGCCCGCACCGCAGCAGGAGCCCGACCTGGGCTGGGGCGACCGCATTCCCTTGGAAATCCTGCTGCAGATTTTCGGGCTGCTGGTGGCGGCGGATGGGCCTATACCCTTCCTTGGCAGGTACCCCAGGACCATCGCGCACAGCGCCGGGTCTCAGGCTGACCTCTTAGGCACTCAGCGGGTGTCTGAGCGCCCACACACGCGTCTTAGAGAGCGCAGTCTCTCAGGGCGTCCAGTTGGAATCCCAGGGGCCCGACCTTGAACTGAGGGGTCCGCAGCGTTGTGAGAGTTGGCGGGGGGCAGGTCCCTCCTCTTAGAAAACCCCATAGCGACAGCCATTGAGGGCGAGCATCGACCACAAAAGGCCCGGCCCCTCAGGAGAGATTTTCTCCCAGGGCTGCACGCGTGTGCCGCCGCTGGCACGAGGCCGCCTCCCAGCCAGCGCTCTGGCACACCCTCACCCTGTCACCCCCGCTGGTTGGCCGCCCCGCCAAGAGTGGGACCAAGACTGAGAAGAAGCTTCTTGCATCCCTGGAGTGGCTTATGCCCAGTCGGTGAGCAGTTCCATCTCTTTCTTATCCCCTCATTCCGCTTGTGTGTTGTGTGAAAGCCCCAGGCCCCCTCCTGCCTTCCTGCACGAAGGTGATGGGTGGGGAGAAGGCTGGCAGAAGGGGCAGCATGGGAACACTGTGCAGCTCTGCCTCTGCTGTCGGCCCAGGTTCTCACAGCTCCAGAGGCTGACTCTCATCCACTGGAAGTCTCAGGTACACCCTGTGTTGAAGGTGAGAGCTCGAGGCTGCCCTGCACGCCAGCCATGACACTCTGGGGTTACCCACCAGGGAGTGGGTCAGGTACCGTGGGGCCCAACGATGCCCCACGAAGATGCCTGCTTGGTTCTCCTTTCCTGGCGTGTCTTCCAGCAGGGAGGTGTGAGAGGTGGGAGCACCCAGGTAGGCCTGGCATGGCCAGAAAGGAGACCATTGCTGAGGCAGTAAAGTGCGGTTGGCATCAGCCATTGATCCGTTTCCCTTGTGGACCACAGCCTGCCCTCCCCCAACCCCAACTGGCCCTCTGTTTTCCACAGCTGGTTAGCGAGTCCTGTCCCCGGCTCACCTTCCTCAAGCTTTCCGATTGCCACGGTGTGACCCCTGACACTCTGATCATGCTAGCCAAAGCCTGCCCCCAGCTCCACAGCCTGGACATACAGCATTCCACGGTGAGCCCAGGAGTCCCCAGGGGCCCCAAGGAAGCCTGGGCTGCGTTGACCGGTACCTCTGTGCTGGGTCTCCAGGTGGAGTCCACGGCTGTGGTAAGCTTCTTGGAGGAGGCGGGGCCCCGAATGCGGAAGCTGTGGCTGACCTACAGCTCCCAGACGACAGCTATCTTGGGTGCACTGCTGGTAGGTTGGTCACGGGCAGAAGCAGAGCTGGGTGCTGAGCCAGGGACTGCCAGGCCTCCGACCCTGTGTTCTCCCCCACCTCTACAGGGCAGCTGCTGCCCACAACTCCAGCTCCTGGAGGTGAGCACAGGCCTCAACCACAACAGCACTCCCCTCCAGCTGCCTGTCGAGGCCCTGCAGAAAGGCTGCCCCCAGCTGCAGGTACCTGCCGCCCCACCCCTTCCACCTGTCGCCCTCTCCCCACCTGCAGCCTGGGCCTCGCTCCCAGGTGTTGCGGCTGCTGAACCTCATGTGGCTTCCCAAGCCTTCCGGGCGAGCGACGACTCCTGGCCCAGGCTTCCCCAGCCTCGAGGAGCTCTGCCTTGCCAGCTCCACCTGCAACTTTGTGAGCAACGAGGTCCTGGACCGCCTGCTCCACGGCTCCCCTCACCTGCGCTTGCTGGATCTCCGTGGCTGTGCTCGAATCACACCTGCTGGCCTGCATGATCTTCCATGTCAGGGTCAGCACTCCCCGGGTGGTGGCTGGGCAGGTGGGATGTGGGGATTCTTGCCCACCCCACAGCTCATGCCCATCCCTCTCACCTCCAGAGCTGGAGCAGCTTCACCTGGGCCTGTATGGCATGTCAGACCGGCTGACTCTAGCCAAGGAGGGCAGCCTTCTGTTAACTCAGAAGTGGTGCCGCACTCTGCAGGAGCTGGACTTGAGTGGCCAGGGCTTCAGTGAGAAGGACCTGGAGCAGGCCTTAGCTGCCTTCTCAGGCGCCCCTGGGGGCTCGCACCTGGCACTGTGCTCCCTCAACCTCCGGGGCACCCGGGTCACAGCAAGCACAGTCAGGTCAGCATCCCCACCCGCGCCGGTTCCTTGGAGCCAGTATGGCTGGATCCCCTGTCCTGCCTGGCTTGCCAGCTCCAGGGGTCTGAAAAGGGAGCCCATACTGGCCCAGCCCCTGCTTGGGGTTGGCCTTAGGGACACCAAGGGTACTGGGCTTGGGCCTTGATGGCTGTAGGTGGCAGAGCCAGCTGCAGTGCAAGGGTAGAGAGGGCTCCTTAGACTGGCTCAGCCATGCTGTGCCTGGGTCTTCTTGGGGCCGGTGGCTCAACCTCCCATGGCCTGCACTGCTCCCACAGCTCTGTGATCAGCAACTGCTCGGGTCTGCTGTACCTCAACCTGGAGTCCTGCCGCTGCCTTCCCCGGGGCCTGAAGCGGGCCTACCGGGGCCCAGAAGAAGTCCAGTGGTGCCTGCAGCAGCTGCTCACCAGCCTGCCCCCTCCCAGCTAGGCAGCTCCAGCCAGCCAGCCCTGCCCTCACCCCTTTCCCATTTTTGAATGTGTGAGCGTTTTGTTACAATAAAACATTTTTAGGAACTCATGTGTGGTCTTTCGGATCCCAGTGAGAGGCTAGGGGTTGTCCCTGAGGGAACTACTTGGGGCTACAGCTGGCCCAGAACCTGTGCGTTGCGGTGTTGGGGGCAGCCCCCCAGGGCTCCTGCGTCAGCCTGTGGCCGGGCCTTGCCTGCTCAATCCTGGGCTCAAATCTTGGACTGAGTGTGAGTGTGTGTGTGTGTGTGTGTGCGCGCGCACGTGTCTGTGCTTTCCACGGACACTAAGGTGAGCTGTCTGTGTTTGTATATGAGGCTCTGACCCGGGCAGAGGCGGCAGTGGAGAAGGGGAGGCCATGCTCAGCCATGGGGCTCGTGGTGGGACCCCTGCCTACAGATTCCTTTCCAGCTCAGGCCTGGGATGTCCCACTACCCCACCCTTCAGGTGAGGACTGTGAACCAGGCTGTGCAGGGGGCCTCCGGTGGGGTGGGGCCTAGCGGGGGAAGTGCACGCCCACCGCAGGGCCGGGCCGGGCGACTCCCTGGAGACGGGAAGATCAACAGGACGGCCCTAATAGAACCGCCACCCAGAGCTTCTAGAACCCGGCGCAGCCCAGAGCTTCTAGAAGCCGGCGTCGCCCAGCCTAGACCGCCACTCGGTGTCGCTCCCCTGCCTTCGCCTGAGAACTGCTCCTTCCTGGACCGCAACCCTGAAGGCTTTATTCTCCCAGGTATGAGTGTGGCTGTGAGCAGTGGGCAGTGGCAACAGACGAGCCGCACAGCTGACGGTCTGTACCCGACCCAGGCCCCCAAGGGCCGGTTCAGCGGCCTGCCTACGACCGCCGGCAGCAAGCCCTTCCAGCTCTGGGCCCAAGGACTCTTCTGCACCGAGCGCAACCTGGCCAAGCGCCTCAAGAACAACAGTTTCTACCCGTTCACGCAGCAGCAGCCCAACGGTGAGGGCGACACTCAGTTGCCAGGGGACCAGAACCCGGCGGAGCGGCGACGCGGGGCGGGGACTGGAATCTGAACGGGGCGGGGCCGGGCCGGCTGCGGCCTTCGCGGGCGCTGGAACTGCAGGCTGGACCCCGACAGCGGCCCCGGGCCCTGCGGCCGGCGGGCAGTTCCGGGCCCAAGCCCTGGCACTTCCACCTCGGGCTGCGAGCAGGGTCCCGGTATCCTCACGCGCCTCTGCCGCGCCGCCCCCAGTCTTCGTGCTCGAGTACTACCTGGACACGCTGTGGAAGGGGACGCTGCTCTTCATCGTCTGCTTCTTCCTCGTCAGCTTCGGGCTTGTGAGCGAGGTCTGAGCTCCTGGGCCCGCCCCCCACGGCCTTCCTACTCTGGGGGCCGGACCCCCACTCGGTGCCCCGCCCCTGGGTCCCGCGGCGGCTCAGAAAGTCCCCGCGGCGCCCACAGGTGCAGAAGCAGGAGACTTGGGGCTTCCCTGCCTACGGCGTGGGCGTGGGCCTGTGGCTAATGATCTCGTCGCTGCCGCGGCGCCGCCTGGTGCTGAACCACGTGCGCGGCGTGTACCACTTCTCCATCCAGGGCCGCACCGTCTGTCAGGCCCCCATGCACCTGGTCTACGTGCGCATGGCGCTCAGCTCCGATGGTGACGCACGGGGCGGGCCGCGGACTGGGGGATGGCGTGCAGGGGAAGGGGAAGCCACGTGGGGTGGGGAGGAGCAGACAACTGACCCAAGCCCCCGCCCCCGGAGCCCCCGCCCCCGGAGCCCCCGCCCCCGGAGCCCCCGCCCCCGGCTCTACAGAGACCTGGGGCTGAGCGGCTTGCCCCTTGCCAGCCTATGGAAGGTGCTTCTTCCAGCTGGTTCTGTGCGGCCACAAGCTGGAGCCGCTGGTGCTGGTGCAGCTGTCGGAGCGCTACGAGGTGGGTCCCTCCCAGCCCGCCACGGGGTCCCAGACACGCTCCCTTCCCCTCCTTGGTTCAACATGACGCCAGCCACTGTTGAGGGTCTTAAGATAGGGCCATTTCGCAGGTGGAGAGTGCATACAACGGGGACCTGGCCCAGGCCCTCGAGCTGGGAGCCAGCGGAGAGGGCGCCGGGGCTGACGGGCAGGGCTGGAGGTGCGGTCTGGCCAAGGGGAGGGGACGCCTCCGGCGCAGCTCTTGTTCAGGCAAGAGCTGACCGCCACCCGCTCGCACAGCAAATGGAATACCTCGGCCGTCATATTGCCCGGAAGCTCAACATTAACTACTTCGACTGCTTGGCCACGTCGTACCGGCACGTGGTCCGCCACTGGCCGCCGGGGGCCGCCTTCAGCCCGGGCATCCTGCGGCGCCAGAACGGTGCCTAGGACAAGCGGAACTCTCACAAGTCAGCCCAGGACTTGTGACGCTGCCAGCTGGCGCCCACCCCTCCCCCACCCCGGGACTGCATTCTCCCTTCCCCTCCAATCTCCCGCCTCCACCTGACCACTGGCCTTCTTCTCAATAAAGCGACCTCCTGCTCCAAGCCTGCTCATTTCCTCCGTGCGGTGGGGGCTGCCGCCCCAGGGCCCTCCTGTGGTGCACACCTCGCAGGGCCTCAGGGAGCCTTTCAGGGAGCAACCCCGGAGTTTGGGTTGGAAGATGGGGGTCGCAGTGGGACTGAGGGTGACAAGTAGCCAGGCCTCTAGAACACGTGTGGGACACACTGCCTCTCTTGGTCAGTAACAGTGAACTGGTCCTTCCAGGCTTCGGAAGTGCTGACCAATGAGCAGAATCCAGGAGTCAGAATCTGATCTGTCCAGTCTGGGTCAGGTGCTGTTCTAGTCCAATCAGCAATGGGATGGGGGCACCGCTGAAGGTCCAGCACTGTGCCTAGGGGTGGATCCTGCACTGGACACTAGTGGAGTTTCCCCTGCGGAGCTCTAGGCGAGAGCTCAAGGCCTGCTGGAGAGTAGACCCACCATATCCCTGGAGCGTGCTCCTGCCTGCCTGCTGGAACCCCAGTCCCATGTTCCCTGTCCAGCGGGTGTTCTTGCCTCCTGGGTGCTGGAAGCTGCTGTGGGAGCAGAGAAGGCACCTGGGTCTCCCTGTAAGCATTTTTCCTCAGGGCCATGCTCACGACCCAGGTCTTTGTGCATTGTATCAGCTGAGTGTCCCTGGAACCAGAACCAGCTGCATAATTTGCAGGGCCCCATGCAAACTGAAAATGCAGAGGTCCTTGTTAAAAAGTTATTAAGAATTTCCAGATGGCAGCAGAAGAACATTAAACCAAGTGCACCCGTTAGTGCTGGGGGCTTACCTGCCCACCAGCCAGCAGGCTGAACAGCCAGGTGTGTAGGCATCCAGCCCCACCCACCAGCAGGTTGGCACCAGACCTGGGATCCCCTGTGCCCCACAGCCAGCCCCACCCACCAGTGAGCCTGCACCCTCTGCATGAGGCAAGGTCTGGCAGCCAACTGGTCCAGGGGCCAGCCCCATCTACCAGTGTGCCCACAGTAGCAGGCCCTGCCACAACAGAAGGGCCCTTGCAGCCCACACAGAGGGCAGCCCTAGAGCATACAGCTCTGGTGACCAGAGGGGAGTGTGCTGCTGGGTGGGTCGCATAGGACATCTCCAACATAAGCCACTTTTCCGAGCTCAGGAAACATAACTGACCCACCTAATACACAGAAATAAAAACAGAGAATTAGGCAAATGAGGCTACAGAGGAATATGTTCCAAATGAAGGAACAAAGGCACCACAAAAAAAGGGAATTACAGGCCAATATCCCTGATGAACATAGATTAAAAAAAATCCTCAATAATATATTAGCAAACCAAATCCAACAATATATTAAAAGGATCATACACAATGATCAAGTGGGATTTATCCCAGGGATGCAAGGATGGTTTAATATCCACAAATTAATCAATGTGATACACCACATCAACAAATTGAAGAATAAAAATCATATGATCATCTCCATAGATGTGGAAAAATCTTTTGACAAAAATTCAACATCCTTTTTTAAAAAAATTTATTTATTTTTAATTTATTTATTATTTTTGGCTGCGTTGGATCTTCATTGCTGCACGTGGGCTTTCTCTAGTTGCAGCCAGCGGGTGCTACTCTTTGTTGCAGTGCATGGGCTTCTCATTGCAGTGGCTTCTCTTGTTGTGGAGCATGGTCTCTAGGCACACGGGCTTCAGTAGTTGTGGTTCGTGGGCTTCAGTAGTTGTGGCTTGTGGGCTCTAGAGTGCAGGCTCAGCAGTTGTGGCGCACGGGCTTAGTTGCTCCACGGCACGTGGGATCTTCCTGGACCAGGGCTTGAACCCGTGTCCCCTGCATTGGCAGGCAGCTTCTTAACCACTGTGCCACCAGGGAAGTCCTCAACATCCATTTTTGATAAAAACTCTCAACAAAGTGGGTATAGAGGCAACCTGCTTCAACATTATAAAGGCCATATATGATAAGCCCACAGCTAACATTATACTCAACGGTGAAAAACTGAAAGTGTTTCCTCTAAGATCAGGAACAAGACAAGGATGCCCACTCTCACCAATTCTATTTAACATAGTATTGGAAGTCCTAGCCAGAGCAATCAGAGAAGAAAAATATTTAAAAGTAATCCAAATTGGAAAGGAAGAAATAAAACTGTCACTGTTTACAGATGACATGATGCTATACATAAAAAATTAAGACACCACCAAAAAACTATTAGAACTAATAAATGCATTCAGTACAGTTGCAACATCAAAATTAATATACAGAAATCTGTTGCATTTCCATACGCTAACAAAGAACTGTCAGAAAGAGAAAGTAAGAAAACAATCCCATTTACAATTGCATTAAAAAGAATAAAATATCTGGGAATAACCCTAATTAAGAAGGTAAAATACCTATGCTCAGAAAACTGTAAGACACTGATGAAAAAAATTGAAGATGAGGGACTTCCCTGGTGGCGCAGTGGTTAAGATTCCAGGCTCCCAATGCAGGGGGCCTGGGTTCGATCCCTGGTCAGGGAACTAGATCCCACATGCATGCCACAACTAAGAGTTCATATGCCACAACTAAGGAGCCCACATGCCACAACTAAGGAGCCTCCCTGTTGCAACTAAGAAGCTGGTGAGCCACAACTAAGGAGCCAGCGAGCTGCAACTAAGGAGCCCGCCTGCTGCAGCTAAGACCCAGAGCAACCACATAAATAAATAAATATTAAAAAAAAAAAAGAAATTGAAGACAACACAAACAAGTAGAAAGATATACTGTGTTCATGGATTGGAAGGATTAATATTGTTAAAATGTCCACACCACCCAAATCAGTTTACAGATTCAATGCAATCCCTATCAAAATACCAATGGCATTCTTCACATACCCATTCACAAAGTATGTCTAAAATGTGTATGGAAACACAAAAGACCCCAAATAGTCAAAACAATCTTAAAAAAGAGAACAAAGCTGGAGCATTCACACTCCCTGATTTCAAACTATACTACATAGCTCCAGTCATCAAAACAGTATGGTATTGGCACAAAAACAGAAATATAGATTAATGGAACAGGATAGAGAGCCCAGAAATAAATCCATGTGTACAAGGTCAGTTAATCCATGACAAAGGAGGCAAGAATATACAAGGAGGAAAAGACAGTCTCCTCAATATGGTGTTGGGAAAACTGGACAGCTACATGCATAAGAATCAAACTGGATTACTTTCTCACACCATATACAAAAATAAGCTAAAATGGATTAAAGACTTACATGTAAGACCTGAAACCATAAATCTCCTAGAAGAAAACATTGTCAGTATGCTCTTTGTCATCATTCTTAGCAATTTTTTTTTTGATACGTCTCCTCAGGCAAGAGAAACAAATGCAAAAATAAACAAATAGGACTACATCAACCTAAAAAGCTTTTGCACATCCAACAAAATGAATAGGCCACCTACTGAATGGGAAAATATATTTGTAAATGATATATCTGAGAAGGGGTTAATATCCAAAATATACAATGAACTCATACAACACAATATCAAAAACAAACAACTCGATTCAAAAATGGGCAGAGGACCTGAATAGAGATTTTTCTAAAGAAGACATACAGATGGCTAACAGGCACAGGAAAAGATGCTCAACATCACTAATTATTAGAGAAATGCAAATCGAAACTACAGTAAGGTACCACCTCACACTGGTCAGGATGGCCTTCGTTAAAAAGTCTACAAGGGCTTCCCTGGTGGTGCAGTGATTAAGAATCCGCCTGCCAATGCAGGGGACACGGGTTTGAGCCCTGGTCCGGGAAGATCCCACATGCTGTGGAACAACTAAGCCCGTGCGCCACAACTACTGATCCTGCTCTCTAGAGCCCGCGAGCCACAACTACTGAGCCCATGTGCCACAACTACTGAAGCCCGTGCACCTAGAGACCGTGCTCCACAACAAGAGAAGCCACTGCAATGAGAAGCCCGTGCACTGCAACGAAGAGTAGCTCCCACTCGCTGCAATTAGAGAAAGCCCGCGTGCAGCAATGAAGACCCAACGCAGCCAAAAATAAATAAATAAAAATTTTAAAAAGTCTACAAATAACAAATGCTGGAGAAGGTGTGGAGAAAAGTGAACCCTCCTACACTATGGAGAACAGTATGGAGGTTCCTCAAAATAAAACTACCATATGATCCAGCAATTCCACTTTCAAGTATTTTTCAAAAGAAAGAAAAATACTAATCTGAAAAAATATATACATTGTAAATATTTTCTCTAAATTCTTCTTGAAAGTACTCCCTGGTACTCTGTCCTGCGAATCCTGGCCACCCCGGCCTTCCCAGACACCCAGCTCTGTCTCTGAACTTGGGGAGTCTGCCCGGGTGGCCCACCTGTGCCACAGCCTGGACACACTCTCTAGGCAGTGACCTGGGGGATCATAGGGCTCACCTTGTTTGTCACCTCTCAGGGGTCACTGTCCTTCATTGCTGATGCCCAATGTCTTGAGATCCATTGCTTCATCTGTTTTGCCTAGTTCTTTTTTTTTGAATGGGAACCTGTTTGTGTCCCTCCTCCCTTTTGTTATTTTAAAAAATTAATTAATTAATTTATGGCTGCATTGGGTCTTCGTTGCTGCTCACGGGCTTTCTCTAGTTGCGGCGAGCGGGGGCTACTCTTCATTGCGGTGCGCGGGCTTCTCATTGCGGTGGCTTCCCTTGTTGCGGAGCGTGGGCTCTAGGCGTGCAAGCTTCAGTAGTTGTGGCTCGCGGGCTCAGTAGTTGTGGCTCGCGGGCTTAGTTCCTCCGCGGCATGTGGGATCTTCCCGGACCAGGGCTCGAACCCGTGTCCCCTGCATTGGCAGGCGGATTCTCAACCACTGCGCCCCCAGGGAAGCCCCATTTTGCCTAGTTTTTTAGCTGTTTCAGGTAGGATGGTAAATTTGGTTCCTGTACCTGCAGTCTGTGCTGGAAGTGGACACTCGTCCAAGTTTCTCTGGAGCTCAGCTACTCTGGCGCTTAAGTCGAGGC